AAAACAAAATAAATAAAATTGTTGGCAAGGATGTGGAGAAACTGGAATCCTTGCACACTGTTGAGGGATTGCAAAATGGGAAAGCATCTGTGAAAAAATAGTATGGAGGTTCCTCAAAAAACTAAAAACAGGCTTTGGAGATGTAGTTCAGCAGTAGAACACTCACTAGGATGCATAAGGCCCTGGGTTTGATCCCTAACACCACATTAAAAAAAAAAAGAAACGAAAAACAAACAAAACTCCCTAAATTAAAAATAGTCTTAATTACCATACAATCTAGCAATTCCACTTCTAGGTATAAACCACACAAAAGAAATTAACACAGACTGGGGATGTAGCTCAATGCTCCTAGCATGCACAAAGCTCTGAGTTCAGCACACACACACAAAAAGAAATGAACACAGGATCTTGAAGGAATATGTGTATACCCATGTTCATAGCAGCATTAGTAACAACAGCTAAAATGTAGAAGCAACCCAAGCATATATACCTACAATGTGGTATATATCTATAATGTTATCCAGCCTTAAAAAGAAAGAAAATGCAGCCTTTTGTTACAACATTAATGAACCTTGAGGGCATTATTCTAAGTGAAAAAAGCCACCAAAAGACAAATCTTGTATAAGTTTACACTTGAGCAGCCAAAGCCACAAAGACCAAAAGTAGAATGGTGGTTATGAGGGGCTAAGGAGAGGGAGGAATGAGAATGGGTACAGTTTCAGTTTTACAAGATGAAAAGAGCTGTAGAAGTGAATGGTGGTGATGGTTGCAGAACACTGTATTTAACATTGCTGAACTATATGCTTAATCATTGTTAAAGATGGCAAATTTTATAAGTGTAAAGCACAATATTAAAAATTGGAGGGGGAAAGTGTGTCATGTGTAAGACATAATGTTTAGCATTGCAATAAGAAGTCAGGAGCTGAACTGTCCCATTGGTATGTGAGACAAAATGAATTAATTTAAACAAAGAACAAGGAAAAAAAAAAAACACCAAAAAGCTTTGTAGATGTACTCAAGTGACTAAAAGAAACTAAACTGAAAGCCCAAAATAAATTAAAATTAAATCAGATCTGGTCCTCTCTCCTTATCAATGTATAGGACATTCCCTGCTTCCCTCTTGTCTCCAAAATAAAACAAATCCACATCCCACGCAACTTTTGGGGGCTAAGTTTATGCATAAGCTTATTGATTATGGACAGGAGTGCTGAAAATATTTTCAGACAAACAGTAGAGATGAAACAGAATTAGGATGTCTTTTTATGTATCAAAAAAGGTGGATAATATCACCAACATTCTTGTTACCATAAGCATAGACAAAAGGGAATGAAATAGAACAAACAGAAAAACTAACTAAAATGTTGATTAGTGGAAATGAAGGTAAAGGTCTGCTGTTTTTGTGAGCTCTCATTTTATCTCTATGCTCATGTCCTTTTGATTAATCTGAAAAAACAAAAACAAAAACAAAACAACAACAAAAACCCAGCCACTGTCTTATAAAGAGACAACCTGCCAGAAAAAGTTGCCGGGCTTTTCAGTCACTCTTCTGCATCACCTTTATAGGCTTTGGACATGCTGTGTCACTGAACATATCTGACTTCAGAAAAATACTCAAAATAATGGAAAATGAATTTCTTTACGATTACAGGATAAACATACAAATATGTTCTAAATAAAAGGTCAAGATCCAAAAACTATTTTATTTTTATCATTTTTCAAAGAAACAACTTTAAAAAAATTAGAACTAAGTATTAGATCTAAGAACCAATAATCTTACTTTAATAACAGTAAAAAAAGTAATGTGGTGGCAGTGGCAGCAGCTCCTGTTTACTAAGAGCTTATTCGGCACTGGGGACAGGGTGCTTTATGAACTTCTCATTTAATCATCATCATAATCCTACGGGTTTGATAATGCACAACCATAAACGAGTCTATCTAGGATTACTCATACATTACATTTTTCTTTGAAACAAAGTATTTTACACATACACACACACACACACACACACACTTAGAAAAATAACTAACGAATGGGGGGAGGAGAATGGGAGATGACTTTGAAACATCCTTATTCTTTAAAAATTAAGCATTACATATGTATACTTCGCATGCATGTGCATATAAACACACACAGAAATTATTTTCAGAGTTGCTACAGAGAGCAGATTTTAATAGATTTATAATTCTAGTAAGTTCCTAAAATAGCTCTTGTGGTTGATGCAGTTTTCTCTGTATTTAAGTGGATTAGCCTAAAGTCATTACTGCTCAAAATGATACTAATCACTTTAATTCCAATTAAAGGGACATGTAGAACCATTATAGACAAAGAGCTAAGTCAGCAGCAACCTCAATTTTCCAGGAAAGCCTTTGAGAAATATTCATAATCTTGTCTGTGGCTCTTATTTTACAGTGAAGTCTAGATTTTTTATCAAAGCAACTTTTAAAATAAAGGCATGTTTAAAGAAAAAAGGAAACATCACAAAGAAAAAAAAGTAGTCTTTTTAAAAAATTTGATTTTAGTGGCTGGGGGTGTAGCTGAGGGCTGAAGTGCTTACCTAACATGTACAAGGCCCTGGGTTTGATCCCCAGAACTGTAAAAACCAAAATATTTGATTAAAAAAAAACTATGAAATTATGTTCTCTTTTGACAAATATTGTGCTGTTATTAGATATTAAATTCATTCTACAGAGAAATCCTTACCAAATATTTTTAACTAGCATAACAATTAGTATCAAAGTTCTTTCCCCTCACATCCTTAACTTATATCTGATTCCCACCCCCCCAAAAAAGGAAGTCCATTTACTTGAGTTTATGTCAATTTTCTTTTAATATTAGTGTTTACAGTTTAGATTTCTAGTGTCTCTGAAGTATGAAAAAATTACAGTGGGTGAAAATGGTTTATAAAAATCTTTTTAGGATATGATTTATTGCAGTTAACCTGATTATTTATTTGTTTAATTTTTCTGGTACTGGGGATTGAACCAAGGGGTGCTTTTACCACTGAGCCACATTCCCAGCCTTATTTTTTATTTTATTTATTTTTTTTTTTGAGACAGGGTCTCACTTAAGTTACTTAGGGTCTCTATAAGTTTCTGAGGCTGACCTCAAATTTAAGATTCTCTACCTCAGCCTCCTGAGTCACTGGGATTACAGATGTGTGCCACCACACCCAACAACCTGATTAATTTTTAAGGGCACAATTTTAAGAAAGTTGAAAGAATGATCTATAGCTGCAGAAAAAAGAATATGCTTTTTTTTCCAAATATTTATTTTTTAGTTGTAGTTGGGCACAATACCTTTATTTCCAACTACAATAAATTATTATTTATTTTTATGTGGTGCTGAGGATCGAACCCAGAGTCCCGTAAGTACAAGGCAAGCACTCTACAGCTGAGCCAAAACCCTAGTCCAAGAATATGAAGAAAACGATATTTTGAAAACTCATAGAGCAGAGACTAAAGATAACATACCTACAAACTCAGTTCAATGTTAAATAATATACCTGCCAAAAGTAACTAAAATAATATAGATTTGACTGAAAAATAACAAGGGTATGTTTTATTTGTACTCTGGTTGTTTCTATGCAGTTTTTAATTGAGCCATATTTTGAAAAATGGAACTTTAAGTGCTTAAAAAGTAGAAAATAAAATTTTAAGTGCTCAAAAGAGGAACCCATGTTAATTTCTTCATGAATCAGTTAATGCCAAAGTTGTTTCTTTGAAAACCTGAATATATCTTTATTGCTTAAATTACTATTTGTAAAAAAAAATATATATATATATATTAAAAATGAATACCATTCATATTCTTATAAAGTACAAATAGTCTTATGATAAAGTAGGAAGTCCTGTTGCTACAAATTTGATCTCGAATAGAAAGTAAGAAAACTAGAAAATGCATTAATTCTAACTTAGTTTTTCTCAGAGAAAATACACGCATATATATGTATTTTTTCCCAGTGCTAGAGATGGTACACAGGCCTTATACATGCTAGGAAAGTACTTTATCTCTGAGCTATATCACCAGCCCCAGAGAATAATAAATTTTAACATCAGCCTATTAATTTTCTAACAGACAAGCCACAAAATTTTTAACTATTTTAATACTAGACATTGTGACCCTATTTTTATAAATTATTTTAAAAATTATCAATGCTTAAGTATATGTCATTTTAAGAGAAATGTTCTTGAAATGAAATTAATACAAGTATTATTACTCGAGTGTTGTAATTAAAAGCCAGGGTTAAATCCTAGCTCTTTCACTTATTAGGACTGCCATCTTGGAGAAATTAATTGCTTGATCTCTCTATGCTTCAGTTTCCTCATTTATTGAAACGTGAAGATAGTAGTTCCTTACTCATAAGGTTGGTATGATGATTAAAAGTAGTTAATTGGGCTGGGGATGTGGCTCAAGCAGTAGCGCACTCGCCTGGCATGTGTGGGGCGCTGGGTTCGATCCTCAGCACCACATAAAAACAACATAAAGATGTTCTGTCCACTGAAAACTAAAAAATAAATATTAAAAAATTCTCTCTCTCTCTCTCTCAAAAAAAAAAAGCAGTTAATCTTGTGTGTGTGCACGGGCACATACTCGGTGATGGGGACCAAACCTAGGATCTGACACATGCTAGGTAAGTGCTCTACCACTGATCTACATCACGATCCTAGAAGTTGATCTTAAACAGCACTCAGAACAATGCCATACAAAAAAGTATTCAATAACTTGTATGATATGATTATTATTGGTTGTTTTGGGGCTTATGATGGAATACAACAAAATTTCAAATTCTCTTCTCTTGTTGGATTTTAACATAATGAAGTCAAAGAAGACAGAATGAAAATTTCTCATCAGGAAGTTGTTACAATTTCTGACCTACCAGTAACCTGATTTACTATAACATTTCCATTTTGTTGTGCTTATAATGATTGAAATTAAATACATTAAAAAAACAAGATCTAATGATACCCTTCACTGAGATATCAATACAAAGATTACCCACCTGTGCAACTCTTCTGTTTTGTCTTCAGTTGGACCTACGATTAGTAAACAGTGGCGAAGGACAGCTGCCATGACACGGAACTGATGAGAGTCACTCTATGGTCAAAAAAGAAAAGGAGAGGAAAAATTGGGAGATGAATGCCTTAAGGAAAAAGTCCAGCACATTACTATAACACCTGTTCCTCCAAACCTTCTTACACTATACAGGGAGATAGCAGGATACTCTAGAAAGAATTCCCAAGGCACTACTAAGTAAATAGTCACTATCTTATTTCAACAACTCCAACCACTTCCAGTAATGGCTGACACCAGTGAGTTTCTGATCTAGCCACTCTGTTTTATCTTTGATGAAGATTCAATTCTACTCATTTTGTTTTATTTTTCCATTTTCAGAAAGTCAAGATTCTTTCTTTCTCTGGTGAACTGCTCCAATTCACTAATCATTATCAAAGTTCAAATTGGAATAGTTATTTTGAGTTGGTTGTTCATCCTTAATAAAAAATGTCTGCTCTCAACTTTCAAAAATAGTTCATCAACTTCATTTTGATCAATCCTCTTAATCTCCCAGTTCCTACAAAACTACCAGAAAGTGAGTCAAAAAAAAGTGATCTGAGTTTATCTCCTCCTACTTTGCCAAAAACAACCGTTGGCAATGGTATTAAAGAAACAATCATCTGCATCAAGGTCCTATCTCTTAAGAAATTAATATGACACAGGAAATCAGAGATAATTAAGATAGAGATCCTGGATATGCCATACTTCAGAAAGCTCTAAACACTTGAAATACTATTAAAATTTTCAAAAATTTCTTAGCATATACCTGATTTCAAGTCCATGTAAAGTGAAGTACATCTCACTCACACACGCACAATATATACATATATATATATATATATATATATATACACATATACACATACACATACACACACACACACACACACACACACATACATATACAAACACATACACACAGGCCCTTTAAGGGAGATGTCTCTCATCTAGCATACAGGGTAAACTTTCATTACTTATGTGGGTGATAATATTTTAAAAACATGTACATTTACAAGAGATGAAGGTATTAATGGAAAAAGTACTGGATATGGAGTCAGAAGCCTACCTTATGACATAAAACAATTCATACAGCTTCCTGAACCTTGGTTTCCCCACATGCATCTCCACAAACACAAGGCTCTTAGGATTAAGTTAAAGAAAATGTCATGCATAAAAATGCTTTAAAACTTTCAATAAAATATGTGAGGGTGTGGGGGAAGAAGTCAAAGAGTGAGACTGTGAAGTGATAAACAACTGTGTGGGTAGGAAGAGAGGGAAAAGAGAAAGAGGGACCAGTGGAATGCCAGAGGCACTGAGACTGCAGGGTTCATCATCCATCCCCAAATGCTTGGGTGAAAATTCTCTCATATGTAAATATACTTTCACTTACCACAAATTACATGAGGTATACTAAAACCCATGCCAAACTCAACTATTACTTAACTCTTGATAAGGTCACATTTTCCTGGGTTTTGAAAATTAACTGGGGGATCTACTTCCTTTTGTTCTATATATAACACTCTTTCTCTTCTCATGCTGATGGTGACAAGCCTCCTGCAAAAGTATCCATTATGGTCTGTTATTTGTAACTGTAAACCCAAATCCTACTTTCCATTGCATCTCCTCCTTTTCTAGTTTTTAATAACACCTATTCCCAAGTTATACTTTCTGACTGCAATGCTCTCTTTTACCCAACATTTACTAAGTTCTCTCCATTCTCTACTCAAAACAACTTCTGAAATGACTGGATTATTTGCCTCTGCTCTTTACATTGCTGATTGTTTTTCATCCTCCAGATCTCAGCTAAAACATCTTCTTAGAGAAGCCCCTTCTCTGATCACTGATCTAAGTATATTCCTTCATGATTCTCTATCTTAAAGATTTCTTTTCATGAAACCATAATTTGTAACTTCACATTTGTTTACTTACTCATATATCTTTGTTTTCTCTACTAATCTATTACCCTCATGAAGATGAGGGCACTGCTTTAATAGGTGATCAACAGTTTTGTTTTGTTTTTTTATAAATATTTTTTTAGTTGTTGATGGACCTTTATTTTATTCATTTATGTATATGCGGTGCTGAGAATCAAACCCAGTGCCTCATACATGTGAGGCAAGTGCTCTATCACTGAGCCCCAGCCCCAGCCCATGATCAACAGGTTTTAATGTAAATGTTGTATAATATGAATAAGCAGAAAAATGCCCAAATTATAAGTGTGTGGCTAGATAACTTCTCACAAAATGAGCACATCAATTAAAAAATCATGCAAGGCCAAGATTAAGAGCCCCAGAATTCTCCTCACACTCCTTCCAATGACAGCCTTCTGCTCCTGAAAAGTAATCCTAACTTCTAATATCACAGGTTAGTGTTGTCACTGAACTTTACATGAATGGACCCATAAAGTATAGACCCTCTTGCCAGTGACTGTGAGATTCACCCATGTTGTTGTATGTAGTTAGTTTTTTCTTTTCCACTGCTTGGGAGCAGCCCTATACAAAGTGTGGTGCTGGTCCACACCCTGTTTGTCACTCATCTTCAAAGTCATGAGTACAGAAGGTATTGAGGGAACATTTATAAACTTTTTGAGCATTTGGACATTGTGTGTAATACTGGATCGTACAAGACTTTCATTCTGACAGCTAGGGAAAAAAATCTTGTCCCTCCACCACAGATGGGTTAAGAAAGCACTGCTATATGGTGTTCTAGTGTATAAATGTATTATCATTAACTTATCTATCCTACTCTTTAAAAAAATATTTTTAGTTGTAGATTGACAACAATACCTTTATTTTGTTTATTTAGTGTGTGTGTGTGTGTGTGTGTGTGTGTTTTTTTAATGTGGTGCTGGGGATTGAACCCAGTGCCTCATGCATGCTAGGCAAGAGTTCTACTACTGAGCCACAGCCTCAGCTCCATCCTACTCTTGATGACACTTGAATTGTTGAATGTTTGGGGGGTATTCTAACAAGTGCTGCAATAAACATGCTTTTTACATGTCATCTGGAATGCACGTGTATACATCCAGGAGAGGGGATACTGAGTCACAGGGAACACACATACATCAAGCTTTATAAGGTACTGTCAGTGTTTTAACCTATACTTATAATAGTTTCTTTATAATTTCATTGATACTGAATATTGTCAGCTTTTTAAACATTAGTCATTCTCATGGATATGTAGGTTATTTTTTGTTTTAATTTGCATTTTCATGATGACTAATAAAACTGAACACCTATTTTTATTGTATGTCTTATGTTTATTTGGTCATTTGGAAAGCTTGTTTTGAAAGTTCCTATTTAAACCTTTTGTCTATTTTTCTATTGTGTTGACTTATTTATCCTTATGGATTTGTAAGACTTTCTAATGAGTTCTGAATATTTTATTGTACATATGTGCTGCAAATATCTTGTCCCACTTAGTGGGCTGCCATTTTCCTTTCTTCTTCTAAGGTACTCATTTTAATGAAGGACAATTTTTTCCTTTAGATATGATCCATATTGTATTCCATTTTATTTGGAAATATTTTCTTATTTAAGAAATGTTTGGCTAGGCATGATGGTACATGCCTATAACCCCAGCAACTCAGAAGACTGAGGCAGGAAGATCGAAAGTTCAAGGCCAACCTCAGTAACTTAGCAGGACCCTGTCTCAAATTTTTAAAAATAATAAAGTAAAGAGGGCTGGGGATGCAGCTTTGTGGTAGAACGCCCCTAGGTTCAATCTCCAGTACTACACAAAAAAAGAAAGGTTTAACTTATTTGAGATAAAGTCACAGCAGTAAACTTTTAGAAGCCTTATTATTTTATCCTGTGTATTTAGATCTCTTACATAACTCAACTTCTCTTTTGGGGTATACAATATAAGGTAAGGATTCAAAACTGGTTTTTTCCATACAAATGATCCAGAACTATTTGTGAAAAACCCCACTGTACTTCCATGTCACCTGTATCATAAACCAGTTGACTACAGATATGCAGGTTTATTTCTAGATTTTTATTCTATTCCATCAGTCAATGTCTCAATAAATAACTGTTAAAGCAATGCTATCATTTAAGAAATCTTACTTAACAAAGGTTATTGTGGTCACTACTTCCCACTGTTGGTTACTCTGCTGTGTGACTTTTCTCAATGTTCCAATCTCTGATGTCCTCATCTCTTAAGTGGGGTTAATAATAATGCTCACAAGAATACCAGAAGGACTGAATGTGATTGCTCTTACAAAACAGTATATAATCACAGCTTTTACAACTGTTATTTACTTGCTTCATGATTTAGTTTTTGTATCTTTAGGATATCAACATTTGCTACTCTAAAATGATATCACTTCCAAAGGTTGAGGGGGAAAAATCCCTCAGAACAAAGAGCAGAGGAAGAAAAAGTGAGAAAGTAGGTTTGGTTGTAACAGTGGAAATTAAAATCAGATAACATTAAAAGCAAGATAAAAATTATCAAATTCTTTGGAATTTCTTTACAAAGGCTTTGCTTCTTAATTACAGATTCCGTTATTATATGAAATCTTTTTCCCCCTCCTTTGCAAACTGTGGAAGATTTAATTTTATTTAGAAAAAAAATATCCATTTTCCTATCTTTTTATTCAAATTTTAACCTTTCTAATCAATGCCAGAGAAAAAGCCCAAAGATCCAGAATATACAGCACCTGAAGCTGCTGTGCACTGCTGAAGTGATTATTGTTTTTAAGCATACAGAAAATATAGAAAATAATAATATATAATATTACAAACAGCTTGCTTTATTTTGAATGTTCCCTCCAAACTTCATATTGAAATCTAGTTTTCATTTAACTGTACTGGGTGGGTAGGATCTTTAAGAAATGTTTAGGTCATGTATGAATGGATTCATGCTATTATAATGGGAGTGGGTTAGGATAAATTCTGGTGAGTCCTAGCACCCTTATATGTTCACAGGTTCTCTCATGCACACACATGCATGCTCTTTCACCATATGATGCCTTAGCAAAAAGACCTCACCAGTTATGATCCCTGGATTTTGGACTTCATATAGACTCCAAAGCCATGAGCAAAATAAACCTCTATTATTTATAAATTATCAGACTGGTATTCTGTGATAGCAACAGAAAATGTACCAAGACAGAACCACACAACCGCTTGTGTAGAGTTTTTTGGGGGGAGGGGAAGCAGCAATTGGAAATGGAACCCAGGAGTGCTTTGCCACTGAGCTATATCTCCAGCTCTTTCTATTTTTTTATTTTGAGATGGGGGTTTCACTAAGTTGCTGAGGCTGACCTTCAATTTGTGATCCTCCTGCCTCAGCCTACAGAATTGCAAGGATTATAGGTGTGTGCTACCATGTCCGGCTCCACCTGTGTTTACATGACTAATTTCTCTACTAGGTTTTTACTGCCTTGAAGACAGTGATGTTTTACCTTGCATTCTGTGTATCTAACATAAAAGGTGGCACGAACTGGATACTTAATGTTTGTTGAAAAATTTATTCAACAAGAAAAAACTGCACAGCCTGAAGCTTTATTTTTAAGTAATATCCTATCCTTGTCTACATTTCCTTCAAAGTCTCTAATGAGGGAACTAACCTCTTCTGTTACAGTGTGACATTCTCAATAACTTCTGTGAGCACTCACTGTTTTATCTCATTCAAACAGCATCTTTTGACTCCTTAAAAACAAGTATTTTTGTTTGCACTTAGTTTTCTGGCTCTATCAAGTCTACTGGTCCTTGTACTTCCTTATTACCCTGCATTGATACTTAGGAAGCACCAGACAGGGAAATGTGTACTACATAAAGGACCCATAGATTAACATGCTCTCCTCCATCAACAGAGATTTAGGAAAATGTTGAAGCAGGAAGAAGACAAGGCCATTTCAATTAACTTTTCTACAGCTAACTTTATGTCCTGCTAAAGGAATCATTCAACCTTTTCAAATATACTATCTCTAGGAAAGGGAGAGAAAGAGGAGACAAGGAGTAGGGAGGGAGGGAGACTCTGTCTCTACACATGGAAATAATGCCAGCTACATTTCCCACGAAAAGGAAATCTCCAAATTAATCTGCTGATGGTATCAACAGGCAGGCAGGAATTCAACACTGAGGCCTAAATCTGAAATGCACAAATGGCACTAATTTGCTAAACCTCATGAAACATCTAGTCCTTCATTTTCTGTTTTTTTGTGAACTACAAATGAAGGAAGTCATAAAAATACTTGCTAAAACAGTTAAAACCAAAACCAAATGTCTGTATTTTTCTGTAACTGTTAGGCTAAGTAATTGTGAAACAGGCAAAAAACTACAGAAGTGAAATAAATGCCTAGCATTTGGAAAGGTATATTCAGCACCCTTCTTTTGAAGTCAGTTGGGCAATAGCTATCAATCAAAAAAACCTGAAAATTTTGAAATGCTCTGGCCCATCAATTTCAGGTTATTTACTAAAACTTTTACAACCAGAGAATTTACTATATTGATATTTAAAATAGCAAGCAATTATGATTTAAGTGCCTCCAAACAGGATTTGTCAAAGGTTGAGAATCCTTATGAAGGAATATTCATAAATATTTTTATATTTATACTTAATAGTATTCTTTGTGGGGGGGTGGGAGGGTTTACTGGGGATTGAACTCAGGAGCACTTAAACACTGAACCACATTCCCAGCTCTATTTTGTATTTTTTTTAGAGACAGGGTCTCACTGAGTTGCTTAGCACCTCACTTTTGCTGAGGCTTACTTCTGAACTTGGGATCCTCCTGCCTCAGTCTCCTGAGCTGCTGGGATTACAGGTGTGTGCCACCGTGCCAGGGTGAAGTATTCTACATGCTCACAAGTATTTGTATGCATTCTTTCATAAGGATTTATCATCTTCAACAAATAGGAGTTACAGAGTAGTTGTCAAAGTTTTGGGTTTTTTTGCAGAACTCTCTTTTATCCTCCAAATGAAATCTTAATTACAAACCTAAATTAAAACAACAGCAATAGCAACAACAATAGCAACAACAATCAAAGGTGCTGTTTTATAAAGTGGAAGTGGGGAACCTGGGATACCACTCACCCACACCTAGAGGATACTCCTAGGAACCTCCCAGCTTCAAGAAACGCATTTTTGAAAACTAATACTCTGTGTAAGTGTGTGGGGAGTTACTGGGGATCAAACCCATGGCCTCACCCATGCCCAGTAAGCGCTCTCCACAGAGTTAACATCCCCAGAGTTGAAAACTAGTAACTAGACTTCAAGAACATTGGTTGTGCAACAAAGATGAAAATAATAAAATGATTACATTTTGTGTGTATATGAATATATATAGAGAGAAATATATAGACAGAAATATATATTTCTATTTATATATTACATAACGGAGAATGGTTAGAAAGATACACATCAAAAGGCAAACAGTGCTTATCTTCTCAGGGGTGAGTTTTCAGGTAGTTTGTATTTTCTTGCTTCTATGTTTTTTTTTCCTAGATCCTCTACAATGAGCCTCTAGTTATTTTTAAAGTTAGATTCTTTTGATTAATAAGTTTTTCATATTTGTTAACTAGTCTTTGGGTGCTTGCTCAAAGTAAAACACTTCAGCTGACAAACTAAGGAGATCTTGAAACCCAGTAAACAGATTATTAGTAGTAAGTCTCTCTGCCCTGATATGAGGTTTCTTTGAACAAAGTTGTGACTATCTTCCTAAAAACTCCTGTTTTGGTTTCTGTGGTCTTTTCACATGCTACACAATTTCTAGGAACCATTCATCCCTCTATTCTTCAGATGGCTGAATCATTCTGAATCTTCAGATCTCAGAAAAGACTTTCAGTCTTCTGTAACTATATTATATATTGTCAATCATTGCATTGTTCTCTCATAGCAAATAACACAATTTCAATTATGTAATTTTCACTGATTTATCACCTATTTCACCCACAAAATGGAGGTTTCATGAACAATGCCTGTTATTTGCCAATACATTATATAATGCCCAGTGTAATGTCTAGTAATTGTCCATAAATATTTGGACAATGATAAATGATAAATGTTTGCTAAGAGCTGAATTTGGAGACTCATGAAGACATTCTTTTCTAAATGGTTGGCAAAGATCCTATTTTCAATACTATTTATATTTCTGAAAACTTCAACCATAGCCAAGAGTCATGCTGATTTTGCACATTTTGTAATGGCTGTATCAATTGATCCAGACTCAAACAGGTAGTAGGAGGTCTGAGATACCTAATCTTGGAATACTGGCCCTTTATCAGTAGATACTTTTGTTTTGGAGAAAAACCATTCTATAACACAGAATAAGTATATGCTACTTCAACATTTTCTAAAGCTCCTTCCAGTCCCTCTGTTACTTATAACTAAAGCACACTAATAATGGCTAATCTTAATTTACTAATTTTCATTACATGTCATCCCACATATCTACTGATGTGCAGCCACTAAATTATAAAGTGTTTTTGTTAGGAATCTGAACACTGTGAGCTACTATTTTAGGTATAACTTAAAATAATAGGGACTCCAACAATGGCAAACCAACAGTCTTAGAGTACCTCTTACAACTAAATGAAGAACTTAAAAAACACCAAAACAAACAGTGTAAGAAAAATAACCATAGAAGGTACCAAATAAGAATAGAGACATAACATTTCAAATACTTCCAAATATTTGGTTTCAAAGCATAAATGGAGCATGTGGGCTTTCCACATCTTTTTCTGCCAACTCTCAGGAAAAAACTGACCATGCTACAGTCATCTAAAAGAGCTGTTAGGACTGATCTTCAAATATTTGGTTTCAAAATACAGACCTATCTGCACTTTAAAACTCATGCCTGCATATTCTCACTATAGCACTGCATTGAGATAATCCTTTTAAAGTAGTTTTCTGGCAAATACAGATCTTTATTCATGGGTGAGAATTATTTCAAATGGACACATCAAAATATTAACCTAAATCCTAAAGTCAGATGTCTTTTTTTTTTTAAAGGCACAGTCTAAATTTCACTAGTCATTTATGGTTAAAGAGAGAGAAAATGTGAAATGTCTGGATTTTAGAAGAAAGGAACAGTTTATGTCCATTTTACTTAAAATTGTTGATTTCCTTAAGCCAAGTTTCATTGTTAGCATATTGTTCTTGTGGGTATTCAAATATAAACTACCAAATCTGCCTCATTTTGGTTTGCTGGAAGGTCCAAGCCTCAGAAGACTCTTAGTCTAGAAATAAGTTAAATGGTTTGAAATAACCTTTCTCATCCCCTTGAGTAATTATGTTTGTTTTCTAGAATTATGTATAAGCATGGATATCTCTAGTTTGTAGTCCTATATTTTTGACAGTTATCTTACACTACATAGGAACACCTAGGAGAATAGGCTAATAGGTATACATACACATAGGATTTTTTTCTTCTTCTGAGCTGACATCAAAGACTTATCAGTTTTAATTGACTGGCATTATCTGAGCTTTTAAGGTGGCAGCCATCAAAAATACCTATACCTTTATTAACTGCCTTGTTTTATTTCCCTTTAAATCTTATCTTGTTCATGAAAAAGACTCTGAAAAAGACAGTGATAGTACAAGTCAGAAAACTATATTTGGCATCTTACAAAACAGTAGTTCATCTCCACCCCATTCTTCCAACAGGTATTACACAAATGGAAAGAATAAGATTTAGTAATGGTTAAGAAATATCACAGTTCATACAACTGATTCATGGAGGAACTGGTAACTTTTTCCATTTTCCAATTTAGCATGCTTCCCTTGCAGACAGCTATAAGAACATACCAGACAATTAAACTCCAGGTAGATAAGAATACCATTCTCAACCTTACCTCTTTATGCACCTTCCAACTGTCTACTGTCACATTGAAGAGAGCTTTGAGGGCCTCAATGGCACAGTCTGTCTCCTGAGGTGAGAGAGGAGGTCCATTATGATCTATGGCCGATTCATACTCATCGGTCCACTTGATGCTAAAGGCACTTTCCAAGATCTGGGTTAGCAGCGGTAGTCCCTGGAGCTCATAGCGCAATTGTGACCTGATGTCAGTGTGCAAAAGTGACAGGAGAAAGAGCAAGCGCAAGTCAAAGCACTTAATGTCATTGATAAATTTTCGGTCCTTGCACTTTCTCAGGAGGTTACAGAGCTTTGCAGCAAGATTAAGTTCCAGGCTGAGCTGCTGTGCCATCTGACTGTTGAACACTATGTTACATAGACACTTTAATGATTCCACAATAACTGGGAACTCTGACACCTTCTCCAAAGAATCATCCGACTCAGTTAGCTTGGCTAGTCTCAGCAATATCTGCATGTTTTCCTTGGTTGTTACAGGAACTAAAATCTTTTTGTCTCTGGAGAGAATGCGGAGTACTTCCAGGCAGGACACTTGACATGTTGTTGGGACGTCCTTTACAAGGACTTTAAATATGCCTTCACAGAGTTTCTGAAAAACAAGAGAGTATGCAAAAACTATTATTTGATTTTCAACATCAGACTAAACAGTATCAGGTTTGAAGGCAATTAGTCTGAATCATAGCTATTCCCTCCTCAGAAATAAAGATTAAGAACTAGTTCACAATTGCCCATACTACATGCTCTTTTTTGTAAAATAACTGAAGGAGATAAGCATTTCTGCCAATGTTTAGTTGTGCTCTTTCTTCTAAATATTTCTTAATATTTCTTCCATGGCAGTCATCCCAAGTGTCCCTCTTTAGCTAAAATCTAATAATACTTACTCATCAAATGACCCAGAGAAGTACTTTTGCTGACAAAAACTGATAAAAGTTATTCCAAATATGGGGTTCCAAAGAGGGTTCAGCTAGCATATATTATGTTTTGAACCAATTGCAAAAAAAAAGGTGACCCATCTAGGCAGACTAGATGCTAAAAAGGTTCCCTCTAGATGGGCAAACTAGGAAAAAGTCTCTCTTCCTCTGGGCAGCCCTGTGCTAAGACATATTGTTTGGGAAGCTCTGAGAAGATAGAATCTTAACTCTCCTTTGTTGCCTTGGTGTAGGGTGCAGATTGTAACTGTAACAGTAACAGTAATACATAGCAGTGGTGGATCCAAATTTTGCTAACATCATCTCAGAAACAATTCTTTTAGGATGAACCCAAAGTATACTCAATCTTATTTGTGTGAAAATTATTTATACTATTGTCAGATTTAAAAATCACAGATCATTCCCTCCAAATTCAATGTAAGCTTTCTCTTACCCTTATATGTGGATCAAACAAGTATACTCATTTCATTGCTGGATACTACTATACACCCTTACATTTTATAAAAACAACAACAATTACCAATATAAGATATTAACTTACTGACAGACTTAAATCCTTGAAAAAGAGGCTACCTGGGGTCAAACATGATCTTGGCAAGAATCCCAGACTATGTGCAACTTCTCAGTATATCCTGGTCATACAGCTATGGAAATACTAACTTTAAATGAAAACATGTTCTCTAAATAGAGATGGAAAGGACCCTTACCTGACAAGCTAAAAAAAAATTCATAAAATGACAACTTTATCCTGTCATATCTGATAACTAAAAGTGACTTTCTTTTAGTGTTTTAATGTCAATGTTACAGCAGGAATTTTTTTTTACTTATTTATTTTTTTTTTTTGCTTTTGTACTGGGATTGAACCCCGGGTGCATTACCACTGAATTGCATCCCCGATTCTTTTTACTTTTTGATGTTGAGATAGGATCTTGCCAAGTTGCTGAGACTGGTCTTGAACTTGAGATCCTCCTATCTCAGCCTCCTGAGTTGCTAGGATTACAAATGTGCACCACTATGCCTGGCAAGAATACCCACAGAAATTAAAATCAGCATGCAATAATGACACTAGCCACATCAAGTTTAAGGCCAGTCTAGGCAATTTAGCAAGGCCTTGTCTCAAAATTAAAAATAAGGGTTGGGGATGTAACTCAGTAGTAGAGCACCACTGGTTTCAATCCCCTGTATCATGATCCCCTGTATCATCCCTTTTAGGGATACAAATAGAAGGAAAGAAGTCAAATAATCACCGTTTGCAAATCATTTGATAATGTATTTAGAAAATCCAAAAAATCTGGCCAGAAAACTGCAGAGCTAATTAATTCAGCCTAGCAGCAATATACTAAATCAACATAGAACAAACAAAAGAATCACCTAAGAATAAATCTAACCAAGAAAATAAAAGACCTCTACAATGAAAATTATAAAACACTGAAAAAAGAAATTGAAGAAGATATTAGAAGATGAAAAGACCACCCCTGTTCATGGATAGGCAGACTTAATATTGTTAAAATGGCCATATTACCAAAATGAATCTAAAGAGTCAATCAATTCCCATGAAAATACCAAAGATATTCTTCACAGAACTAGAACAAACAGTTACAAAATCCATATGGAAAAATAAAAGACCCAGAATAGTCAAAGCAACTATAAGCAAAAGGCTGGAGGCATCGCAATACCAAATTTTAAATTATACTACACAGACCCGCCAAGGACCCAAAAAAGGCCAGCAGCGGTGGATGCCGAGGGCAGGGGCACAACTGCAGTGGGGCCAGGACCTCCAGGCGGAGGTGTACAGAGCCAATGGGCCAGATGGAGCTATTGGCAGAGGCCAGAGAATTCACCTGCAGTTATGGGACACAGCTGGGCAGGAGAGGTTTCGTAGTTTGACAACAGCATTCTTCAGAGATGCTATGGGTTTTCTTCTACTTTTTGATCTGACGAATGAGCAAAGTTTCCTCAATGTCCGAAACTGGATAAGCCAGCTACAAATGCATGCATATTGTGAAAACCCAGACATAGTGTTATGTGGAAATAAGAGTGATTTGGAAGACCAGAGAGTAGTAAAAGAAGAGGAAGCCAGAGGACTTGCTGACCAATATGGAAATCATGTTTCATTCTTCATAATTATAACATTTTCATTGGTGGCCAATGTACTAAAAGGACTGTGTCAGTCAGTACATCCTTGTATTTAACAGTTAGAAAACAAGGGTACAGGCACCGGCAAGGTAGAGGGAACTGTGACCACGCACAGAGCAGGCCCAGCGGCCTGCTGAGGGGCAGAGCCGCCCCCCACCCCCCGCGCCTGCCAGGTAGGTGGAACTGTGACCACCGACAGAAAAGGCCCAGTGGCCCGCGGCGGGACAGAACTTCCAATCACTCCTGCAAGGTAGGCGGGCCTGCGACCCACCGGCAGAAGAGGAGCAGCGGCCTGCTGAGAGGCAGAGCCGCCCCCTCCCCCTGCACCGGCAAGGTAGAGGGAACTGTGACGATGCACAGAGCAGGCCCAGCGGCCTGCTGAGGGGCAGAGCCGCCCCCCACCCCCCGTGCCTGCCAGGTAGGTGGAACTGTGACCACCGACAGAAAAGGCCCAGTGGCCCGCGGCGGGACAGAGGTTCCAATCACTCCTGCAAGGTAGGCGGGCCTGCGACCCACCGGCAGAAGAGGAGCAGCGGCCTGCTGAGAGGCAGAGCCGCCCCCTCCCCCTGCGCCGGCAAGGTAGAGGGAACTGTGACCACCCACAGAACAGGCCCAGCAGCCTGCTGAGGGGCAGAGCCGCCCCCCACCCCACGCGCCTGCCAGGTAGGCGGAACTGTGACCACTGACAGAAAAGGCCCAGTGGCCCGCGGAGGGGCAGAGGTTCCAATCACTCCTGCAAGGTAGGCGGGCCTGCGACCCACCGGCAGAAGAGGAGCAGCGGCCTGCTGAGAGGCAGAGCCGCCCACTCCCCCCCGCGCCTGCAAGGTAGACGGAACTGTGACCACCATCAGAACAGGCCAGACCTGCAACCGAGAGACAGAACAGGCCCAGTGGCCTGAGGAAGGGTAGAGCCGCCCCCCCCCCCCGCGCCTGCAAGGTAGGCGGACCTGCGACCCACTGGCAGTACAGCCCCAGAGGCCTGCAGAGGGGCAGTGCCGCTGCCTGCGCCTGCAAAGTAGACAGAACTGCGACCACCGACAGAACAAGCCTAGCGGCCCGCAGAGGGACAGAGCTGCCGCCCGCGCCTGCAAGGTCGGGGGACCTGCTACCGACCGGCAGAGCAGGCCCAGCGGCCTGCTGGCGTGGTAGGCACATTGCCCCAATTGGAGGAGGGGCAGAGCCGCTGCCCGCGCCTGCGAGGGAGACTTTGCAACTATACAAGACCAATATAAATATATAGGGGGAAAATTCAATAGCACAACAGTTTCACCAAGTAGAAAGGAACGCGAACAGTATGAAGAGACAAGGAAAGAAAGGACCACAAGCATTGCAGGTCAACTCAACTTTAGAAGAGGTAACAGCTGCAGCAGATGGAATGTCAGATAAAGAATTCAGGATATACATGCTTCAGATGATCTGGAGTCTCAAGGAAGACATCAGACAGCAAAATCAGACAATGAAAGATCACTTCAACAATGAATTACATAAACAAATCCAAGAAGCAAAAGATCAACTATACAGGGAAATAGAGGTTATAAAAAACAAACAAACAGAAATCCTAGAAATGCAGGAAGCAATAAGCCAACTTAAAAACTCAATTGAGAATACTACCAGCAGAGTAGAACACTTAGAAGACAGAACATCAGACAATGAAGATAAAGTATTTCAACTTGAAAAGAACAGAGACAGCTCAGCAAGACTGTTAAGAAACCATGAGCAGAACATCCAAGAAATATGGGATAACATCAAGAGACCAAATTTAAGAGTCATTGGGATACAGGAAGGGACAGAGTTTCAAACCAAAGGAATGAGCAATCTATTCAATGAAATAATACGAGAAAACTTCCCAGACTTGAAGAATGAGAACCCCAAATCCTAGAAGCCTACAGGACGCCGAATGTGCAAAATCATAAGAGACCCACACCTAGACACATTATAATGAAGATGCCCAACATACAGAATAAGGAGAGAATTTTAAAAGCTACAAGAGAAAGGAAGCAGATCACATTTAGGGGTAAGCCAATCAGGATAACAGCTGATCTTTCAACACAGACTCTGAAAGCTAGAAGATCCTGGAATAACATATTTCAAACACTGAAAGAAAATGGGTTCCAACCAAGAATTGTGTTTCCAGCGAAATTAAGCTTCAGGATGGAAGATGAAATTAAAACCTTCCACGATAAACAAAAGTTAAAAGAATTTGCAGCTAGAAAACCATCTCTTCAAAACATCCTTGGCAAAACATTACAGGAAGAGGAAATAGAAAATAACAATGAAAACCAATAGTGGGAGGTAGGACACTAAAGGGGGGAAAATAATCAAAGAGGAAAACAAACCATGTTTAGTAACATAAATAAACAAATATGGCTGGAACAACAACCCATATCTCAATAATAACCCTAAATGTTAATGGCTTAAACTCACCAATCAAGAGACACAGGCTAGTAGAATGGATCACAAAACAAGACCCAACAATATGCTGCCTACAGGAGACGCATTTGATAGGAAAAGACATACATAGGCT